TCCATACTGTTTTCCACAGTGGCTGCACCAAACTACATTCCCACCAAAATGTAGGAGGGTTCCCTTTTCTCCACAGCCTCTCCAGCATTTATGGTTTCTGGATTTTTGAATGGTGGCCACTATGACTAGTGTGAGATGATAACTTATTGTAGTTTTGATTTGCATTTCTCTGATAATTAGCAATATTAAGCCTTTTTTCATATGCCTATTGACCATTTGTATATCTTCATTGGAAACTTCTTGTTTAGTTATTCTGCTCATTTTTGGATTGGTTTTTTTATTTTTTTTCTTATAAAGTTGTATGAACTGTTTATATAGTCTAGAAGTAAAGCCATGTTCAGTCTCATCTTTTGCAAATATTTTCTCCCATTCCATAGGTTGTCTTTTTTGTTATGCTTATGGTTTCTATTGCTGTGAAAAAGCTGATAGGTTTAATTAGGTCCCATTTGTTTATTTTGGCTTTTATTTCTGTTGCTTGGGTGGATTACCCTAAGAAAACATTACTGAGATGTATGTCAAAGACTATTTTGCCTATGTTTTCTTCTGAGAGGTTTATAGCGTCTTGTATAATGTTTAAGTCTTTAAGCCATTTTGAGTTTGTTTCGTTTTGTAGTTTTTTTTTGTGACTCTATTGTATGCTTTCAATTTGTGGTTACCATATTTTTCAAGTATATCAACCCATTTCTATATCTATTTCCTTTAGACTGATAATCACGTAGGCTCCAAAACATCCTAAGAATAATGAGATAAAAAAAAGAGAAAAAATCTATCTTTTCTTGCTACCTTCTCCCATTCCCACATTTCTGTATTTTGATCTACTTTTTCTTTTTTACATCTTCATGTTTATTCTGTTGTAACTCATTATTGCATTTCCAACTATGGTTTTCCCATTTCTATAGCATCCTGCTTCCTTTCTGTTTAGAGTAGAAACTTTTAATGTTTCTGTTTGGTTCAATAATGCTGAATGATCTCCCCACCCCATCCCCCCTGCACCTCTGAATCCTCAGTCCAGGGAA